GCGCCGGGGCCCCTGGTTGTTGGAGACCTCCTGGGGGGGGGGAATCAGAGGTATCACACAGGGGTCTCTGAAGTTGGGCCTTGTAGGGTGAGTCCAGAATTGCATGGCAGGGCTGCCAGAAAATCGGGTTCACAGCCTAGGCCCCCTTGGCCAGCCCCCTCAGTCTCTGGCTTCCTTGACCGCGGCGGGCACAGCTGGCCGTGCAGACCAAGCGTGTGGCGGCGCAGGTGGACGGTGGAGCGCAGGTGCAGCAGGTGCTCAACATCGAGTGTCTGCGGGACTTCCTGACGCCCCCGCTGCTGTCAGTGCGCTTCCGGTGAGTCTCCAGGCTTCCGGTGAGTGCTGAGTGCGTGGCCAGTTTGGGGGCAGGACCTGCGGTTGGGGGCGAGGCCTAACGTGGGCCCTCCTTCCCCACTAGGTATGGTGGCGCCCCCCAGTCCCTGACCCTGAAGTTGCCAGTGACCATCAACAAGTTCTTCCAGCCCACAGAGATGGCGGCACAAGACTTTTTCCAGCGTTGGAAGCAGCTGAGCCTGTGAGGGCCGGGCACAGCCGAGGCCAGCTCTGGGGTGGGTGGGCCGGGGCCTCCTGCCTCTGACTGGAACCTTTCCTCACCCCCCAGCCCTCAACAGGAGGCGCAGAAAATCTTCAAAGCCAACCACCCCATGGACGCCGAAGTCACTAAGGCCAAGGTGAGGCTGTTTGCAGGTGCAGCGCGCGGCTTGCTCAGCCTCTGCTTTCCCACCTGTCAGCTGGGCGGATTCCCGCCCCCAAGGCTTTGGGGAAAGGGAAGTTGCCCAGGGGCTCCCAGAGTCTGGGTGCGCTCTGAAGGCTCCTCCCCCCTCCCAGCTTCTGGGCTTTGGCTCTGCCCTCCTGGATAACGTGGACCCCAACCCTGAGAACTTCGTAGGGGCTGGAATCATCCAGACTAAAGCCCTGCAGGTGGGCTGTCTGCTTCGGCTGGAGCCCAACGCCCAGGCCCAGGTGAGTGAGGACACTCCTCCCTGCCCATGCCGTGCTCTGTGCCCTTGCTCCATTGTGCTCCTGCCTCTCTGACACTCAGTGCTCTATCCCCCGGTTCCTCCACCCTGAGGTTCTCCTCTCCCTGCCTTGTCCTTTCACTCCTGCCCACTCTATTATCTCCTGGGCCCTTTCTCCCTTTTTCTCTCATCGTCTGTCTCCCACTGTTTCTCTCCCGGGGCCTGCCCTGTCCCCTCTGAGTCCTGCCCTTGTCCCACCCAGATGTACAGGCTGACCCTGCGCACCAGCAAGGAGCCCGTCTCCCGTCACCTGTGTGAGCTGCTGGCCCAGCAGTTCTGAGCCCTGGACTCTGCCCCCGGGGATGTGGCCGGCGCCAGCAGCCCCTAAGACTGAGGCAACTTTGGTGGATGGGCAGCGAGGGGACCTCCACTGGTGACAGGGAAGACCCCAGGGGTGGGGGGTTGCCTGGGACCTTTCTCCGGCCTTTTGTATTTTTATTTTTGTTCATCTGCTGCTGTTTACATTCTGGGGGGTAAGGGGGAGCCCCCTCCCTCCCTTTCCCCCCAAAGCACAGAGGGGAGAGGGGCCAGGGCAGTGGGTGCCTCCTCCCCTCCCCCCCCGTCGTAGCCCCTCCCACCCCTCCCCGTCCAGGGGCTGTGTATTATTGTGAGCGAATAAACAGAGAGACGCTAATCAGCCCCAGGCCTGTGTCCATGGCCTCCCAGGTGGTCAGAGCAGCGGGGTGAGGGCGTGCAGAGTGTGGGTGGCCAGGCTACGCAGCCCATGGGTGGGGCTCTGAGGAGTCAGCAGCAGCAGCAGGCGCCGAGGCCCCAGCTGCAGAGCCACCAGTCGCAGTCCCACGCCGGGCTCCTCGGGCCCCAAGACCAGGTAGCAGGCTCTCGGCTGCTGTGCTTGGTGGGCTGCATCCTCTGTCTTCTCTGGTGGCCCTGGCTCTGGGGAGAGGACAGGGAGGGCCCGGGTGGCCATTGGGCTCAGAGGGGAGTAGGCGCACCTTCAGAAGCCACACCCCACCCTGGGCTAAGTTCCCAATCTTTGGGGTCTGGGAACCTCTTGTCAGGGGAGGGCCTCAGCGCTGAAGACAGCCAAGGACTTCCTCGACCAGCTCATCCTTTTCTCACCAGCCTCAGTCCCTGACATCCTGAGGTGTTGTGCCAGCCCCAGGCAACCCCACATGGGCCAACAGGTGGCATGGTGGTTAAAGTGTTGGACTCCCACATGGTGGAGTCCCAGACCTGGCAGCTTAAAAATCCCTCTGGGCCTGTGTGCTTGTGTGCGCAAAACCCTGGGAGGAGAATGAAGGAGAAGCGATTGCAGCCTGGCCATCCCCCCGGTGAGGGGGTGATTCCTCACTTTGCTTCTCACTCTCTGTCCTCCCCCCACAGCAAGCACATGTGCCCTATAGCAGGTGGCATGGTAGTTAAGGTGCTGGATTCCCACATGACTGACCATGGTTTGAGTCCTGGACCTGGTGGCTTGTTTTCGTACTTTCCCATTCTCTCTCTCTGTTTCTGGTAAAGTTTAAATAACAAGTGAAATTTTTTAAAAATTAAAAGAATAAACAAAACTATGCCTACACAAGCAGGTGCTGCCCAGCCAGACCCTGGCTGTAACACACAAGCCCAGGTAACCCTTGGAGAACCCGGCTTCACAGCAGGGGGTGAGGACAGGTGGAGTCCTGGCTAGGAAGGGATGTGGCCCTCTGAGCTGGTGCTCTTTACCCTGATACTGCAGTCACGGATCCTCAATGGGCTGAGGCCCCCCAGGTCCCTCCCCGTCTCTGGGGTCTCACGGGTTCTATGACTTCTTCCTAACCTGAAGCCTATGGGATCTGCCCCCGTCCCCCCAGACTATAGGCAAAGCCTGTGCTCTCAGAGCTGTGGCATAGTGTCTGCCAGGTGTGAACGTAGCTTACTCTGAGCCGTGTTTCCTCATCTGTATAAAGGCACTGGGAGACAGGAGGGCTCAATTTTTTTGAAGAATTATTTAATTTTAGGACCAGCAGATAGCATAATGGCTATGTCGCTGAACTCCCATGTAGTCGACTGCGTTTCAAGTCCTGGACCCGGTGGCTTAAACTCACGCCGGGCATGTGTGTGTGTGTGCGTGCCCAAGACCCCGAGAGGAGAATGGAGGAGAAGGGATTGCAGCGTGACCATCCCCCATCTCGCTTTCTGTCTTTCTCTGTCTCTCTGGTGAGCATACGTGCCGTATAGCAAAAACCTCTCAAAAAAGAAAAAGAATTATTTAATTTTTATTCATTTTTTTCTTTTTAAGAATTATTTATCCTTATTTAAACTGTTATTTATTTATTTATTATTATCATTTGGTTTGCTATAGTTCACCAGAGAGAGAGAACAAAAATGAGAAATCAAGCTTCCAGATCTGGGACTCAAACCATGGTCAGCCATCTGGGAGTCCAGCATGCTACTTGCCAGCCCCACCCATTTATTTATTTTAATTTGACCAGAGAGGAACAGAGAGCTGCCAGGCCTGGAATTCTGCAGCCCACCCTGTGGGAGTCCAGTGCCCTTAATAATCACACCATCTGCCAGCCCCATTCATGTACTTTTTTATAGGGCATGTGTGCTCGCCAGAGAGACAAAAAGCGAGAAATCACCCCCAGGGGGGTTGGCCACACTGCAGTCCCTTCTCCACTCTCCTCTCGGGATCTTGGGCACGCATGCACAGGCACCTGGTGTGAGTTTAAGCCACTGGGTCCGGGACTCAAACAGTGGTCAGCTACATGGCAGTCTAGTGACATAGCCATTACACCAACTGCTGGTCCCCATTCACTTTTATTTGACCAGAGAGACACAGAGAGGGGGGAGGAGAAAACAAGCCACCAGATCCAGGACTTGAACTGTGGTCAGCCATGTGGGGTATCCAGCACCTTAGGCACCACGCCACCTGCTGGTCCCAGAGGGCTCAGTGTTGACTGCTGGGATTACGCAGGTGGTTCTGAGCCCAGACAGGGATCTCCTCGTCCCCCCCTTCCTGTCTGTCAGTCCTCAAGGAACACTGCCCAGCTTGTGCTGGTTGGGTGTCCTTCCTATTGCTCCCACCCCACCTCTTACTGCCACCTGTGTGATCTGGGGCTGAGTGTCCAAGCCTGTGTAACGGGGGTGCTGCGTCTACCACTGACCTGGTGGGAAGTGTGCAGTAGTGACCAGGGTGTAGAAGTTGCGGAGGAGGCGCCGGCGCTGTTCAGCAGAAGGCTCTGGAAGAGGGGAGTATACAGGGTGATGAAAGCCCCTCTCTGGCCCTCGCTGCTCTCTGCCCACCCTAGTCCTCAGTCACCTTTGTCTCCCAAGGGCTCCACGGTGAAGAGGCAACGTTTCAGTTCCAGGTGCAGGAGCAGCAGCCTTTGGGAAAGGAGAGTGTCATAGCTAAAGGAAGAGGGAAGGAGGACCCCATCCCATTGCCCTATTTGAGCCCTACCCGAGGATGTCCGAGTGCAGCGGGAAGCCATCGGGCAGCGCCCGGGGTCCCAGCGGCTGGCAGTTTTTTTTCCCAGCGGCTGGCAGGCTCTCAAGGGGCCCCGCGGGGGCTGCCACCACCGCTCCAAAAGCTGCACAGGCCATAGTCAATGACAGGAGGGGCTGTGGTGAGGTCAGACAGGTGCCAAAGGGAGACGTGGTCAAGCGGGAGGGGAGGGGCCTAAAGCAAGCGAGGAGGCGGGAGGGGCGAGGCTTGGGAGGATTGGGTGAGGGTGGGAGAGTGGCCGAGCCGGGGTGAAGGCGATTGGACCGCAACCAGCGGGAGGCGTGGCCTGCAGAAGGGGGCGGGGCGACGAGAAGCGGCTCGCGGGTTTTGGCGGTGATAAAGCAGGACATGGCCAGATTCACCTGTGGATCCAGCTGGCTGAGGGGGGGTCGCGGACCGCAGAGCAGACACAGCTCCAGGCCCGGCAGCAGCGCCAGGGTCAGTAGCCGGTGCGGAACCTGAAACGGGATAGTGTGCAGCCGCCGGCGGCTCCGCCCCTTCCCATCGCAGGCCCCGCCTCCCCCCTCGCGCACTGGTCCCCAGCTGCACCTGTCCCCTGCGGACCGACCCCACCACTCACCGTGGGACTCCCGTGTGGCAGGTACACCGGGTAGTCGCGGGCAGCCTGCGGCGGCAGGGACCCCCCCAGCCAGGGCAGCAGCACGGCCTCAGGCATCCCCAGCCGCCACCAGCCTTCTGTCGCTGCCACCACTCGACCTGACACCACCAGGCTGACGAAGGCTGTGCCCGCCGCCTCGGCGAACCCGGAAAGGGCTTCCTGGGTACCGGAGGCCGGCAAAGGCGTCAGCATACACGAGAGGGGGGCGGCAGTGACCCCCCCCAGGTAGGTAAAGAGTGGGAAAGGACCAAGGACCCACGGGAGCCCCAGAGCTTGCTGAACGGCCACGCTCGTGTCTCGCCCTGTGAACCTGAGTCCCCTCACCTGACAGCCACGATCCCACCTCCCATTAGAAAGTTAGATTAAACCGCCTAGCCCGCCTTGGCCTGTGCTAGCTGGGTCTCCACAGCAGCTGCGGTTTCTCCAGGCCTACTGTGTGGCGAGTGGGCACAACCCAGGCCAGACGGTGAATCCACAGGGCGGTGTTTAAGGACCCATAGACCCAGGTTCACAGGCAGGAAGGGCATGTACGCGGCCGGCCGTGAGGGTGCGGGGTCTGTGGGCGCCCTGAGCACCAAGTGAGGGTGGACTTGGACTTCGCAGCGGATGCCACAGGCCCTCACACACCAGGAGGGGCCACAGCCTGAGGGAGAAGCCACAAAGAGGGTGGCCAGCTCTGGGTGTGGATTCTCCTGGGACATGTGGGGGTTGGACTGGAGGCTGAGAGGACAGGAGGAGGCGGGGGCAACGGTTCAGAATAAAGCAGAGAACCGACCCAGGTTTCCATAGCACCCCCCAATACCTGCAGGAGGGACCCCTCTGGAGGGATCACACAGTCCACACACTGGGTCAGGTCCCCGATGAGCTCCGAGCCCCCTAGGAAGCTGTCGATGAGGCGGTAACTGGCCTAGCAGAGAGACAAGGGAGGAGTCTAGGTCCTGGAGGTGCTGCCTCCCCCGCAGAAAATGGGCAATGCTGGGCCTGGCTCAAGGGTCGGACAACCAAGTTGCCCCAAAAGTCCACACTGTCATTGCTGTGCCAGGGGATGCTGGGAAGTAGTTCCCAAATGGCAAGTGCCCAGGTATCCACTCCCCATCTTCACACCCTGCAGCCTCACCCTCAACTCCTTCTTCAGTCTCTCTACGTTGCGGATATTGGTCAGTTCTTCGAGTCCCACAAGAAGAACCTAGAAGAACCATAGAGGAGAGGATGGGCCCTGGAAAACTGAGAGAGGGAGAGTTGGGACCCAAACTCCTGGTCTAAGGAAGGAAGAGGCTGGAGATCTGGCCCCCGAGTCTGAGGGAGACCTGGGAAACTAGGACCAGGATACAGTTTCTGGGCAGGCTGGTGTTGGGGTCCTGGGCTGCTGGCCTGAGGGCAGTGGGTGCTGAGAGCTCAGGTTCCTGCGTTTTGGAGAAAGAGGGCTGGAGAGGCTCACCATGGCCCCAAACACCATCTGGAGGAGCCTCTCCAGCCCCAGTTCCGAGGTGCCCTCCTCAGAAGACAGGACGATGAGAGTGATGCTGTGGGAACAAGGGGAGAAGGACAGTGGGCACAGGAGTGTCTGTCGTTGATCCTAGAATACCAGCCTCGTCCTCCCTCAGCCCAACCTGCCTCACAGAGAAAATGGGGATCAGACAGGAACTGGCTGGACAAAGATCCCACGTGCACATGAACAACTGGCCTTAAAGAGCTGGTTGGCCCCCTGGGTCATCTTCAAAAGGGGCTATCACCCAGTCCCAGCCCCTGCCCCTGCCCCAGCTCCCGCCTGGGAACCTGTCATGGAAGCTTTTCCACACCACAGTCGTGTCCTCGGTCCTCGCAGAGCTCAGCTGCACCTCCAGGTTCTGCCCAAACATGTGGACTCCATTGAGGGAGCCAATGACAGAGAACGGGAGCTGGGAAGAAGTTGGGGGATTAGACAGGAGCCCCACCCCCTCCTCCTTGGGACCGAAGTGTCCGAGTTCCCAGCACTTTCCCAGTTTCCCTCTTCTTCCCACAAGTCCTGACAGATCCTCTTCAGGCAATCAGGCAGTTTGTCCCCTGGCCCTCTCGGTACTACGGGGCACCGAAGCCTCCCAGCCCTTAGTCCCTGGACCAGAGTCCCCATCTATTTAGAGCCAGGCACCCAGGCCCCACCTGCTGGCGGGTGGGGGCGCCGCCGCGGCTGCTCCGGCAGAACAGGGGCACCCCGCTGGAGGCCGCGAGGCAGAGCAGATGCACGGTGCCCCCGGCCCCTTCCTCCCCCATGTGGGCCCCCTGCGCAGTCCCCCGCGTGGGGACGGTCAGTGCCACTCTGGGAGCATGCCAGTGTCACACTAAGTCCTTCTGCCGCCCGGAGCCGCCAGAGGGCGAGATGGGTAGCTGCCTGGAAAAGACCTAAACCCCCGCCTTCTTGATCCAACTCAAACAGACCCGCAATCCCTACTCCCGCAGCTCCCCAAACCCGTTTGGGTTCTCTTCCGCCCCATCCGGAAGTCACTGTACCCCTAACAAAGATGGCGGCAAGACATTCGTGGAAGGCTTTGTACATCATCCCTGAGAAGGTATGACTCCAATTATTTGAATTGCTGAACGAAGAGGTTGACTCGAAGACTGTGAGGGTGCCAGGGCGTTGCGTAGCAACCGCACTCGGTATCATTTCCATTTCGTGGTAGTAAACACGGAGCCCGACTCAAAGATGGCGACCGCGCGAACGCGTTGCCTAGCAACCACCATTCACGCCAATATCCTGAGGCTGTGAACAGTTGCCCTGCGCAAGGATGGCCGGGGGTCGCCGTTGGAGCGCCCTCTTTCCCCTAGCCTTCCAGAGTGGTTTGGTCCAGCGAGCGTTGCCTAGTAACCACCAAGTGCGATGGTGGTTTTGGTTAGAAAAAGAAAAAAAATCTTTTATTTTTTTTTTGAATCATCGAAGTAACCATTTTTTAGAATTATTTTATTGAACTTATTTTATTTACTTATTTCAATTTGACCAGAGAGAAACAGAGAGAGAGAAAGTGAGAAAGCAAGCGGCCAGGTATGGGACTCTCCAGCCTCTTAACCACCACGCCACCCCTGCCGCCCTCCCCCCCAAGTAAGAATTTTTTTTTTTTTTTTTTTTTTGAGAGTTTTTTGTTTTGACGGGCGTTGCCCCGGCAGCCAGAGAGACAGAAAGTGAGAAATCACCCCCCAGGGGGGATGGTCACAACGCAATCCCTTCTCCATTCTCCTCTCAGGATCTTGGGCACACACGCACACGCGCCCGGCATGAGTTTTAAGCCACCGGGTCCGGGACGCGAACTGCTGTCGACTACGTGGGAGTCCAGCGACATAGCCATTACGCTAACTGCTGGTCCCCCAAGTAACAATTTTTGTAATGAATTTGTATGTCACAACTTACAGTGTAGAATGTGAAAATATTTCCCAAATTCTCTAAAAAGAGAGCTTTACAGAATATTCATACATGGGGACCAACAGATGTCCTAATGGTTATTTATGTTGCTGGACACACACACACACACACACACACACACCACTACCACCACCACCACCCACCCCCGTAGTCAACCCTGGTTTTATTTTCTGACCTACAGCTTGAAACTCGTGGTTTCCAAAGTCCGGATATAAATAGAGAGGGGATTGCGGCATGGCCATCACCCCTGGGGGTGATTTTTCTTTTTTCTTTTTTTGGAGAGATTTTTGCTATAGGGCGCATGCAGTCGCCAGAGAGACAGAGACAGAAAGCGAGAAATCCCCCCCTGGGGAGATGACGACGCCAAAATCCCTTCTCCATTTTCCTCTCAGGATACGTGTCCGGATTGAGTTTAAGCCACTGAGTCTGGGACTCGAATCACAGTCGGCTATATGGAAGAACAGCAACATAGCCTGTCCCGACCCGGGTGGGACAGTTGAACAGGTTTCCTAAGGGAAGGAGTGAGAACTGGGACAAGCGGCGCAGTGTTACAACACGGAGACAACACAGTGTCTTCAGGGTCATCCGTTTATTGTGGGCAGCACAATGTGAGCAGCACAGAGATGACGCGGTGTCACAACTCTTCACAACTCTTCAGGGTCGTCCGGAGATGACATGGTGTTACAACTCTTCAGGGTCTTCCAGAGACGGTGCGGTGTTATAACTCTTCAGGGTCTTCCAGGTCGTCTGTGTAGTCTGGTGATTGTGGGCCAGGGATCGTGGTTATATACATGTTGGTGGGCCGTGATTGGTTGTAAAAGGGGGGTTATGATTGGTTGCTTTGGACCAATCATAAGGTGCCGGATATACAAATCTGAGGGATTCTAGTGGCCAATCAGAGTTTGATTTTGAAGGTGAGGGTTTGAAGGGAAGCCAATCATGGCTTTTGGCATTGTGTAATTGTTTGCTTTCTGAGAAACCGGCAATATTCCTTGGTGCGCAGCCTCCCACAATAGCCATTACCCTAACTGCTAGTCCCTAGGGGGTCATTTCTCACTTTCTGTCTGTCTCTCCAGCAACAGCACACACCCTATAGCAAAGATCTCTCTTAAAAAAAAA